ATTTCGGAAATCCGACGTTAGTCATGCCTTGAGTTGTTGTTTCATTTTCCGAGCCTAATCCCCATTTTTTTTTTGGTAAATTCCTGAGCCTCTATAAAATTATATTTTTCGTAAGTTATGTCAGGTTTTGAATCCCGGTTGCCAAGGAGTTGAACGCCGTCAAAACGGCCATCGACACTGAAGTCTCGAATGATATATTAGAGCAAGCTCCTTGCTTGCAGAAATTTATGGTTTGACAATGCATTTATCCTGAAGATTTAATTAAGAAAATCACATTTTTCTAATTGTTGTGCACCTGTCCCATAAACTAAATTTAGCATTAGTATATTCTATGTATTTTTTACATTTATAGTGCATACATTAAAATCTAAATGCATATTTATCATCAATCCTATGAGCTTATGTCCAATGATGACTAACATGATATATCTGATGATAAAAATAAAAATAAACCAACTTTGAACAAAAATTAAGATAGATAGCCTATTTATAAACAATTAATAAAAAACAAACAAACCAATTTTGTGTTGAACCTGAAACATAGCAATTATTATTTAAAAAAAAAATATAAAAATTATTAAGGAAAAGTTTACGTTTATTTACAGTCTTATTTTGATTTATTTGATGGTTAACCTAATAATTGTTGTATGTAGTGAGAGAAAATTGTGAAATACTATGGAATATGAAAAAGGAAGAGGGGAGAGAAATTAGAGGGAATCATTTAATTATGTTTCTATCTATAAATTATTCAACTCACTATTAAGGAAGTTACATGATTCAAACTAAAAATATACTTTATTAGTATAGTTACATAAATTATGAATGAAAAATTTAAACTTGAAATAAAATATAATTTATAATATAGTTGAAAATTATACAAGCTGTCCAAGCGTGGGAGCAATTTTTTTCGCGACAACAATCAGCATCCGCAGCCCAGAAGAGAAGCCCAGCAAGGGAGCCCAGTTGAGTGAGGCCCAATTTCCGCAGCCCCTTGTGCAGCCCGCGTCCGGCCCGAGTCGGCCTGTGCTCCTCACAACGAGTTACCCAATAATCAAACTTATAATATTGTGTACAAAGAATTTTTTAATAATATAAAATTTTAGTGACGAATATTTTATGATGAATAATGTTCGTATGTATTAAACTCTCATATATCTTAATGCATGTCAAATTATAATATTCTCTAAATTTATATATCCGTGCATCGCACGGGGTACTCACTAGTTGCCTATAATAATACATAAATTATTCCTGCAACGTGCTTAGAAGATCTTAGCAAATCTTATTATTCGGATGGTCGTTATCTAAAACCCTAGTCTCCACCGTCCAAATCAATTTTTTCCATACCTACTTTTTTATATTAAAATTTTATTATTTCAATAGTTAGCTTTGTTGGTGTCACATCACAAATTTTTGAACCATGAAAAGGAAATGAGCAATAAAGGAAAAATGCCCAATATCATCGTCATTTTCAAATTGATTTGTATAGATTGTTATGGGAGAATTCTTGCATGTGGGAGCACTGTTCTTAATTTCTTATATACTTTTTCATCCTTGATTTACACACACTCACACACATCTATGTGGGTGTGCGCAACCACATGCAGTATCGAATTTTTCATTGTTATATGTTTATATATATGATTCGCTTCCGGTTGTTGGTATGTAATACTCGGTTCCTCATTTTTGTAATTCAGATCTCGGTTTTTATGACACTTTTCATGAGTTGCAATTTTTTGATCGGTTCTTAGTTTAAAACAGATTATTGTCGGTTATTTTTCATTATTCGGTTACCACGAAGAACCGAAAAACCGAACCGTTATAACTCGGTTCGGTTCTTTTTCGGTTCCTGCGGATATTTAGGTGTTAACGGAACCAGTTTTTTCTTTTTTCTTTTTTTTTTTTTTTTTTTTTTTTTTTTTTTTTTTTTTTTTTTTATTTCGATTCCAGTTTCGATTCTTAAAAAATATGTTAAGAGCCGGACCAGTCCCAGGCCTAGACAGCACAACTCGTTGAGTGTCTTCTCAATTCTCATTAACTATATACAGTTTGTATAAAAAATGATGAAAATCTCAGTTTTTATTTAATATTAAAAATAATATATTTTAATATTTAAAGATATATCAAATCAATAAAAACTAAGGGCTTGATTGTTTATGAAATAATTTGTTCAAAATGAGTTATTTTGGTTAACCACAATTAATTTTGAAAAGGTAGTGTGATTAGTTGTTAGTGAAATTTTAAAAATGTATTAAAATAATATTTAAAATAAAATGATTAAAATTGATTTGATGTAAAAGTAAGAGATAAATGATTGGAAATTATAGGTAGTTAAAAATATGTGAGTAGATGAATAGTGAATTAAAGTTGACGTGATATGTAAGAATGATTGGTTTATATTATTTAATTATATGAATAATATTAAAGATAGTGGGGTTGAGTTAAAGTTGAGTTAAATTTTAAGTTGAAATAAAAGTGAGTAAATTAATCCATAAACAAACAAGCCCTAAACAAAATTTACTCTATTTTCAAACTTTGACTTTCTATTGAATGTATAATTATTTTTATCATTTTATATTTTGAATTTCATTTATAATAACTTATTTTATTATCCAATTATAGAATGATATGTTTTTTTTTTTTAAAAAAAAACAAACTTTATTTTAATAGAAAATATAAAATTCAAAATATAGGAATAATAATTGGGATTTTTTTTTAATATATCTATTTAAACTTCCCCATCTTTAGTAGTATATAGATATATTGACTCTATTTAGTGCAATAGATAGTGTATGGAATTAAGATTTTTAATTTAGGATTTGTAAATTTCTTAGCAAACCTTCCTTAATGATAGGGTGAACCAAATAGGTTCTTTGAGATGTGAGGGCAAATCGTAGTCATTGATATATTTAAAATCATTAATTAATTGAGGTTATCATATAATAAAATAATAGTTATTAATATTATATTAAATTAATTATAGAATAAAATAAATAAATTGATCGGTGGTGACCGCCAACTGAAGGCGTTGGTCGATGTTGACGTCAGCCAACGGTAAATGACTGGTATTTAACCGTCGATCAACAATAATTGAACGATTGTAATCTTCCTATCAATTAGTTGTTCCATGATTAGTTGTTCCATATCTACTCACCAAGTTCTAGTAGATAATATTATCAAACATGTATTTAGGTTTAGTGAATCAGATTTAGCTTCCTTGTGTTAAGGATATAATAGTTTGTCTTTCTATGTCCAATTGCCTTACAACTTACTCTAAGGATGACAGCGGTTCGGGTTCGGATCGGATGGAACCTCAGGACACCCAAAACCAAAACCCAAACTTAAAAACCAAAACCAAAACCAAAACTGTTTCGGGTGAAAATCCTTCACCAAAACCAAAACACGCGGATACCCAAAAACCAAACGGATACCCAAAAAACCAAAAATATTATAATAAAACACCAAAGACAACAACATAAAACATGATAACTTAGAGAGTACCAGGCAACCAGTCACAAATTAGCAAGTACCAACGTACAGTACAAGCCATAAAGGTAGTAGAGTACATAGCTAAGCCAAGCCATCACGGGAGACGGGGAGAGGATAAGAGGGAGAGGAAATTTCCACTTATATAGCTAGGGTTTTTGGTGGGCTTTTTGATGGGCCGTCTATTTTGGGCACCCAACGGAGCACCACGGGCGAAATATAGGATCCGCACCAAAACCGAAGACTTTCGGGTACCCGAAACTGCAAAACCGTGGGTGAAATTTGAGAACCAAAACCGAAAACCGCAGAACCAAAAACCGTGGATATCCGAACCGAAACCGAACCGCTGCCATCCCTAACTTACTCCCTCATATTCATTATAAATGTCGTTTTGACTTTTTTAATGAACAGGAGGTAGTATATATTTCTAACAAAATTAGAAAATATCCAAGTTATATCTCCAATCAACTTTAAATTAGGCTTCTGTGAAAATTATTTCGCTATGCATAAAACTGCTTAGTGGCACCGTCGCGGCGCGACGGGTCTCGTGCCGCGAGACCTAGGCTTCTAGCAACCTCAGTTAACTCGTGATGGCATAGCAGCGTGACGCCTTGTGTCTTGTCGAGTCGCGGCACCTCGCATGCCGTGACGCCTGGTCGATCGCCAACCTCTGTAGGTACGTGAAGTTGTCCGCGACACGACGCCGACGTGGGGCTTTGCGTATTGCCCCGGCGTTGCACTTCTCGCGGGGGACCGACTGTGTAAGCTGAGTCGGTTCGCATCAGACTTCTAGAACACTAATCCCTCCTGGTATTTGCCTATTGCGTCTGCTAGTAGCCCAACGCTCGCACGCGATTGACGCCCGCAACCGGCGACTCCATCCGCTTTCGATTCAGCGATTTTAAAACCTCTAAAATCTCAAAATACACCTCGAGACTTTAAAAGTCTTGAAAAGTTGCAAAAAAATTCTATTTTGAATACAGCAAGATTTCTGAAATTTTAAAAAGTATTTAGAAATCTCAAGTGAATAAACCTCCAATAGAGTTGTAGTTGTGTTCAAATTTCGGTCATTCAGCTCAATACGATATGAGCTGGTTCGATTAGGTCCTTGATACGGATATTATGAGTACCAATTACTTTTTCGTTACTATTCAATTCGGTTCGGAGAATGTCAACAATCAACAATTATATTTTTGGTTCGAAATTATTTAAGTTTGATTTTCAAAAGGTTTCGGCATTTTTCGAGTCACGTCCTTAATCATAATAATAACATGTAAATCCATTTTTTTATTAATCATGTCAATCCATTTGATTAAAAAGAAAAAGGAAATAAAAATATTTCCACCTTGGCATCCTCTCCTCCAACATTAGCCTTTAAATTCACAACTTCCCCATTTCCTTTCTCACTCACACAACAAAATCACCACTTCTCGTACCATTAATTTCATTCTCGTCAAATCTTCTTAAACTGTCGAACAAAAAATACAAACAAAAACAGAGAGAGAAATAAAGATATGGGTTTGCAAAATGAGCTATCCGACGTCGCCTCCGACTCTGTATTTGTAATCATGGTGGTGCTCGCCGTCAGGAGCGTACTTTATCTCCAGTCCGCCTTCCTCTCTATCCTGCGCGCGCTCGGAATCAATTCGCCGTCGTGCCCGTCCTCCGGCGACTCGGAGGATGAGCATGGCCTCGGCAAGCCTCTGCACGACCTCATCGGGTCCGGCCTGGCCGGGGTCAACATCCTTTGCGAGCAGATGAATCTAAACGGCGACTTGTCAACGCGCGCGTGCTGGTCGGACGCCGCCGACCGGGTCGGGTCGGACTGCGTGGTGTGCCTGAACCAGATTTGCGAGGGGGACCACGTGCGCAGTCTGCCGTGCGGTCACGTGTTTCACAAGGACTGCCTGGACGGGTGGCTGAACCAGATGAACCTCAACTGCCCGCTCTGCCGCGCGCCGCTGGTGCCCGCAGAGCGCGTGGCCTGCGAGCGGAGGCGCGTGGCTGAGGATCTGCTCACGTGGTTCGCCTTCCAGTGAGTCGCCTTGTAATGATAGATTAGATTCGCATGATGAAGCACCAATTCAATTTAAAACTAGAATATGTAATCAATTTAGAATTAAAAAATTAGATTAAAATTTTTTTTATGAAAGGTCAGTTACACAGGTTGAATAAGATGGAAAATGCTAAGGTGCCACATCTAGAAAGACTTCTAGAAATTTTACATGCCACATTGGATTTTTTGGGACATGTGGCAATAGAATGGAAGAATGCATACTCCATTAAAGATGCTCTAATGGCTCAAAATTCTCCTCAATTGGGGAATTTGCATCATCAAGTACGAGCTCACTCGACCGAACAACATCATAAACCAATTCTTTCGGTTTATCAGATCACAAATCCATAGCATCATACATGAGTACATTTTTCTTCTCGAAAGGGGAGTTAACAAATTAACATCACTATCCTCTTTTAGAGAAGAACTGAAAATTTTTGCTAGTTCACTCATCTCTTCCAATGGCGTTTCCTCAAAATAAATCAATAAAATCACTCACAATCGAGGTAGAGGTTTACACAACATCATAAACCCTTTCTACCTTCTCTTCAAAATCATCATCCCAAGCACGATCAAGTATGTTAGATTCATCAAACTCGCGGATATTATATGCACAATCAACTCCTCTTTCAACATAATATCACTCATTCCAACGCTATATGATTCTCTGGCTTCATATTCTCACTCTCTAAAGTTGAAAATCTCAAAGCACAATCACTAGAAGAGAGGCTTGACATATCTAGTGAAATATGCAAGTCAAAATCTTCAATGGAGAAAAGTCCTTCGACGACCAAATCATCGATGTCCTCACACGTCTCCAGATATATTGTAGCATCAAATACGAGAGTGAGACCCAACGTGATGTAGGGAAGCGTACGAGTGGGAAGGATAAAACGAGTAAACGAGATACTCTCTCGTAAAACACGTAAAATTCAACAATATCTTTTATTCATTCAAAATCAACTGAATAAAACAATAGATGAGGAGTCCTTTTTATAAGGCTCATAACCCTATTCCTAACTTGTCCAACAAGACAAGATCTCTTATAATAATATTAGATTTCTAACTTATTCTCTAAGATACCTATGATGATAATAATAATAATAATAATAATAATAATAATAATAATAATAATAATAATAATAATAATAATAATAATAATAATAATCATCTACACCACAACGCTTTCAAGGTGGTAAACATATTCCTCATATCTCGAAACTCACCTTCTAGCCGGGTACTCTCTCAAAAAATTCCTTGTCGATAGAGAACTATATTTCCTAAGTGGAATTTGAGATACATCCAAGTCAAAAAATGAAACAACAGTAGAGTCAATTTTGTGAGTGTCTCTTGAAAAATGGAATGGGTATTGGTGACGTTCAGAAGGGTTCAACCCTTGTTGAACATGAAGCATTGAAGCTCGATGTACTTGATTGACTAACCGATTTATGATCATATGAAGGAGACAAAGCATAGGACTCGATTTTTTATTCTCAGACATGAGAGCAGTAGAAGAGAGGATAAATTGATTGCACTTGTCCAATTGCTCCATAATTTCATCTAAGCGGCTTGGAGAAGTCTCTTGGTTGGCTCTGGTAGGGGCGGAGCATCGCAATAATCGGGAGGTGGTGGATTGTAGTAGTCTTGAGGTGGAGAATTGTAGTATGGACCGGAGTGCCATAATCAAATTTGGCTCGAAATGCTCCATAAAAATTGCTCGACCCTTACCCTTGGGGTGTACAGTAAACGTCATAAGAATAGGAAAGTAGATAGCTCGGATATTAATACAATGGTATATCTTCTCTTGGTGGTTATCTGAGTATCCACTAGATGAGCTTCCATCATAAGAACAATCATCCGGTCCATCGTAGCTCCTCATTCAATGAAAAAAAAAATACAAAATACGAAAACACAAGAACACTATAGCATTGGACAATATTAACAAAAGAGCAAAAGAAAGATAAATAAGATAGTAATAGAGAGAAACACGGAAAATAACTCAATCAATTGTCTAAATCTAATATCCTACCCACTTTCCCCAAAACAGAGCCTTTTTTGTATTCTTTAGCCGATTAAAGAAAACGTCCTGACCTCAGGTCATGCCCCTGAAGGAATACTATTTGAAATCGCATTCAAGTGACTATTGATCACCAAAAAATGAAAATAAAGGTCCTAAACACTGTAATTGCAGGTTAGTTGGTTGAATTGAGCTAATGTGAATGCAAGTAAACTTAATTGAAACCAAGTAAGCTAAATCGAGCACAAAATAATAATAAAATTGCAATAAATGGGAAGATAAAAAATAAAAGAACTAAGCTCCCCAAAACCCGAGATGAAAAGGACAAACTTAAAGGTTTGGAAATATACAATCAAGTAATCTTCATTCCTCGATGAACTAATCGGGCTATCGTGCTACCCTAACTCGTGCTAGGAGCATGCAATAAAGACAATCAATCAACTCTCGCCCAATGCAATCGACAAAAAAATCACATGACCCTTTCCCTTCAAGGATGATAGCCTACTCTACTAATAAAAGTTTCTAACTTTAATTAGAAAAAAATATCCCGTAAATATAACTAAGCAAAGTCAGGATAACTTGCAATATTTTAACTTAGACTAAGTCCTTAGTAGCATCCATAAATAGAAATAAGTAAAAAATTTGCAGTCTTGATGGATAAGCAAGACAATAAAAATTGGTCTTAGAGCACTTAGACTTTAGTGTGTATATTGAAAGCTTGACATTAAATGTTAATCACACTATTTATGTTGAATGATATTTCATGTTTGATTAAATAAAGTTTTGTGTTCTATTGCTTTGCAATTTGATAAATGGTTCATTACGAATGGATAGAAGATCATTTATTGGTTGTGCGCGAAACATAAATAAATTAGTTCACAACCTAAAGGTTGTAGTGTGAATTGTACAATTGATCTTGACCGATTGGTTGTACTAGTACACATTGTTGTATTAAACAAGATCACAGAGAGGAGCAGACTGTTTTGTACCGATCGACATAAACGAATGAGGCCTCGGCTAATTTCTATGTAGTTCTCTTAGAAAAAAAGGAAAAAAAAGAAACAAAACGAGTAAAAATGATAAAAAAATATTGTGTTCTCTTAACCCGTAAGATATAAACAAACACATGTATGTAATAGTTACTGCTTTGATTCTGCATGGTGAGATTCATTATTTCTAAACCAACTGAGTTGGGTGGTAAAGTTGTATGACATGGTGTGTGTTAGAATATAATTTACGGTCACCATGTACTTATGATGGTTGAAGTTTGATTGTATTCTCGAAGTGAGCTCAGAAGGATTTTTATGTTAAATCCTGTTGGTAGTTTAAATTTTGATATAATAATAATGCATTGAGTGGTGCTAGCTTCGCTTCTAGAAGTTATAATCCAATTGTCAGTAAGTAAATTAATTGATGGACATTATATCTTAAACATATGAGGTAATTTGAGTAACTAGAAATTGGAGTTCAAATTGTAATTTGAGAATTAAATTGGATGTATTCAATAATACTACTTTAGTGGAATGGCTGTATTATTCATTTTAGTGCTAAGTGGGCTTAGCCCACAGTTGAGCCCAAAATACGGTAAGCCCAATTTAATGTCTTCTTAAGGTCCCTATTAAAGCCTATAAATACACATCTTTTCTTGTCTTCCAAGACATACATTACATAGAGATATCTATAGTCCTCTTTCCACCAAGGGAGTTCTAGTGGTGATAGGTAATTCAATATAAGTCCTTTAAGTAGTCAAGCATACGACCCGTTGCATCCCAGCACCACACGTTGAGACCCACGAGACTAGCACGACCCGTCCCACTGACCATGCTACCAGCTCCCAGTGACCACAAGCAACCCGAAGACAACCTGATGAAGTGATTTCCAGCGAGTGGAAAATTAGACGATCTCCATCAACAGAAATCTACAACATCTCAAAGTCTGCAGGTTTTAAACTGTAAGTCTTCTACCTTAACCTGTAGATCCGTTGCGCATATCTTAATTCATAGATAAATTTGAAGCATGCACATTACCGACAATCCTTATAAATACCAACAATTGGTATCAGAGCCCACGTGTAATCCTCTTTCGCAAAGTTTGTATTTTAAAGGCTTACATGAATTGCGTGCATTCAAGCTCAACCATAAATTGGATTTTATACATATATGACTATACATAACTCGGTTTTGCAGTAGTTTAATCCACTATTATGGCTTATGTGATTATGTGTTTGATTTGATTGGTTTAAATTATCGCACATTTTTAAAGCCTCGGACAGGTCGAGGAATATGGTTGAATGTTTAAAATATTTATTCGCCTGGTGGGACACAATTTAATTTTATTCGCTTTTCTAGACAAATGTGTAAACCCATTAGTGGGTATAGGATAAAAATTCTAAATTTCGTGTTTATTTATTTTGATCGTGATCGTATGTGGATCAACTGGGAGATCAAGAATACCGGTGGACACTCGACCGGTCCCATGTACCCACGAACGTCGAATAGGACCGCGCGAGTACGCACAGGCGCCTGACAGCTTATTGTCCAGGTTGCTCATGCGCGAATCTCGTTGCAGACCAAACGCGCGAGAATCTCGCAGAGCTCCGAGACCCAAAAAATGCGTTCAGGAGCGTAGGGAGGCACACGATTAGGGCATCGTGCTCGACGCAGTAGAGTCCCTGCGAGCGATTCGAGCTCTCAATCAATGTGTGCCAGATCGTGGAGCGACCTCGGTCGCATGCGTGTTGCAGCACACAACGTTCACCCGACCATAGTTGGCCACGTGATAAACGCTCAGGCGCCAGGGCGTGCACGCAAGATGTCCGAATGATGCTAGGCTGCAGGTCACACAAAACGGCACGACGCGCGCTCGCGGTCGGCCAAGAAATATTTTCTACTACTTCACGGCGACAACCGGCGGTGGCTTCCGGGCGACAGCGGTAGCTCCTCCGATGATGGCGTGTTTAGACTTGC